TCATTATTAATGAGCTCTGTGACTTGACCTCACTGAGATTGAGTTCTGGGGGCAAGAATCTTGTTATTAGAATGATACTGTAAGAAGTTTCAACTCAGGAAACAAAATGAAGTCCATTGGTGGGCCCTAGAAATACTACATTCCAAGACAGATGAAACTTCCAAGGACCCAGGTGTGCTTATCAGGCTCCCAGAATTATACAGCTGAACAGGCCCCACAGGGCACCTGATTTGGTATAGAATATGAAAGCCAATCTCATTTTGTCTTGGAATGAAGGCTATAGTCCTCAACTCTGGATTCACATTAGATTTAAATCAAATCACAAAAATACTGAGGCCTGAGCCCTAACCCAAATCAATTAAATCAGAATCTCTGAGGATGAGATCCAGATAGTGTTATATTTTTAAAGTGACCCTAGTGGTATTAATATGAACCAAAGTGGAGAATCAATGACTTAGAGTAACAAAGAGGGCCTAAAGCTGCTTATGGGCTTTCTGTCTCAGTTGAAATTGGTTCAGAAGGTAAAGGTCGGAGCCCAGAAGGAAAAAGTCAGGTGGACTCAGTTATGTGGAATGGGGGAAAAAAGGTGATTTTAGCAGCAATTTCTTAGCAAAAAGAGACAGCAGTTTAAATCAAAACATTTCCATTTATCGGGATTATATGGAAGGAATATTGTTATGAATACTATTATTATTTTCTTTTCAGTTCTCATTCTATCTCATCTTCTCAAATCTACCAAATGCACTTCAAATGTGAGAAGAAATCACAAAATTAATATTTAACATAGAAAATTATTTCGGATTGGTAATATACAAAATTAATAACAAAATGTTACAGAAACATAGAAACTAAACAATGCTTGAGACCTTTTCTCCTCATGTACAGTCACTAAAATATATGTTTGACCATGAAAATAGGCAGATCAACGGTGCTTCCCAAATGGGGAGAAAGTTTAGCCCAGCAACCTAAAAACTGCCAGATTGATTCTGACCCATTGTTTATCCAATGCCCTATTCTATTTATGATCTAACCCACATTTAGCAAGTAAGATCAGTTTCCCACCAGACGTGAATGAATCTTAATAGAAGGTGTCCCTTAATTTCCTTTAGTCATTTATAACTGTTACTCAAATTGTTCCTGTTTTTGGACTGCTAAGATTTAGTGGGATGACAAACTTGAAAATATCTGCTGGTAATGACAGGTATTGATTGGATAGTAACATATTAATTACTTGCTTTTGATACTGTGGAAAGGTTACTAAAGAATACTCAGTTTAGGTACACTAAGTTGCACTGCATCAAAGCTTTCTATTTTTTCCTCTTTACTTGAAATCAAAGTCAAGAGTCTTAATGATTTTTGAGTGGTCCTTAAAATATTCACATATCTGCTCATATTTAATTTAAAAATGATGCCTTTCCCATCAATGTACCCTCATGAGGAAATCCAAATCATAAAAATTTTTAGGGAAAAACACCAATAACTGGATTTCATGTAAACGGTTTGAGATTATGTCAATCAATTCACCATTTCATGATTTCAAAGATTGTTTCATCAATCTTCTATCACTCAAGTCATAGAACATAAAATAAACCCTTTAACAAGAATTTGGGTTTATTCTATCAGACAGACAAGGTCATTTTTTAAAGCAAATCAGCTAGCAGGAGTGCTATGAGAACATGCCAACAGAGAAAAATAGTCATAGGGCTTTGGGCTCCATTCCATAAATCTTGACCTCTTTTTTTCCCTTCTGCTACTAGAGGATAGTTTGTTTCTCATATCATTCCCTAAGGGAAGTTCTAGCACCACATGAGGCTAACAAATATAATTTGTTTTTTTACTATTTTAAGTTCAAGTTATTAAAATGCCATGGACTCAGTGAAGTGTGGTTCATGTCATATGACCAAGCTGAGAAGGAGTCATACATACTGCTCCCTCCCCCAAAAAACAGTATTATGACTGTGTGAAACTAATCATTGCTTTTTGGGGGATCAATCAATTTAAGATTAAGGTGCCTAAATATGTTTCAAAACATAAGAAATACACATTCTTTCTACACTGGAAGACAAGCAAAACATGGGGCTTTCAGGAGACTCAGGTGTAAATATTGATTTTATGCTCTCCACTGAATTAGAAGTCTGAATTGAATCTCACACTGACTTCCCTTATTTCACTTGTGTCATATATTTTCATTTGGTTTGGAATTTCAAACAGCTAAATTTGTCATCAGCTTTACAGTATTTCCATCTTTTACATTTGATAAGTTCTTGAAAGAGTGAGGGACACATCTCGTCATGTATTCATCACCTATGGATGAAGCACCTATTCAGGTGTGTGTCTAGGAGCTGTGGACACAACAGTGACCTGGAAGGTGTCTGACTGGCCTCTCTACCAGGGAAGAAAGACAGCTAAACAACAAGATAGTAAGAAATATTAAGGAAGTGGTAATTAAAATGATATTTGAAAGGTGAGTTAGCCAAGGAAGAAAAGAAAGTATTCAGGAAGAAGAAATAACCCGTGGGAAAGCAAGAAAGAGAAAGGGCGTATTTTAAGAAAGAAACGTTCAGCAGAGCAAGCACTGTATACAGTTTTGATAGCAGGAAGGTATCTGACTAGTGCAGATGAGTTTGGTGAACTAAACTGGGATGAGATCATGAAGGACTTTGAAAGCCAAGGTAAAGGGGAGACTGGAACGCAGAAGGGTCAGTGGCAGGAATAGTGTTTCAGGAAGATGTCAGAGAATAATAAATAATCACAAGAGGCCAAAATGGAGACAGGGACACCAACTGGGAGGTTGCAAAAGAAATGAAGGAAGTCACTGGCAAGTATAGTGATGGAATGGTGTCCCAAAAAGATATGTCCATGTCCCAGTTCCCAGAACCTATGAGCGTTACCTTATTTGGAAAGAGTCTTTACAGATGTAATTAAATTAAGGATCTCAAGATCAAGAGATCACCTTGGATTATCTGGATGGATTCTAAATCCAATAACAAGTATCCTTACAGGAGATACATAGAGGAGATTTGACAGACAGAAGAAGAGAAGGCAATGTGATCATGGAGACAGAGGTTTGAGCATGAACCCAAGGAATGTCAACAGCCACAAGAAACTGGAAGAGCTAAGGAAAGATTCTTTTTTACAGCCTCCAGAGGAAGCATGGCCCTGTTGGCACCTTGATTTTGGATTTCTGCCCCCAGAAATATGAAAATAAATTTCTGTTGTTTTAAGCAACAGTTTGGTAATTTGTTATAGCATCCACAAGTAACTAATACACAAGGCAAGAGAAAGACACACAAGGAGGGAAAGAACACAGTGCATTTGAGACACTGCAAAAGGCCAGGAGAGCAGGATCCAAGGGCATTCATGAGTGAGAGGCCAGAAATGAGATTGGACAGCCAAGCAAGAAGTTATATTCGTGAAAAGCTGCTGGGTCTGAATGTACATGGAATGCCAAAGTATCAGTGAGTGGATCAGACTGGTGGAAGGAGAATCATGGTCTTGAAGAATGGGAAGACATAACTGGGAAGGGAGGAAAAAGGAATGAATGCAATATTTTCTTGGCAGAGGAGGGGTCTATGGCAGTGCAGGGAGGAAGGGGGAAAGGGCTGGGGATGGGGAATTCGCACCTCAGGCAAATACAGAGCCCTGTCTTAGTCAGCTCAGGCTGCTATAACAAATACCATAGACTGGGTGACTTAAACCACAGACATTTATTTCTCAACAGACCATTCTGGACACTGGGAAGTCAAAAATCAAGGTGCTGGCAGATTTGGTTTTTGGTGAGGGTTCTCCTTCTATCTTGTTCCTGTCTTCTTACTGTATCCTCACATGGCAGGGAAAGAAAGCTCCAGTGTCTCTTCCTCTTCTTAGCAGACACTAATTCCATCATGGGTGCTTCACCCTCATGACCTCTTCTAAACCTAATCACCTCCCAAAGGCCCCACCTCCTAATATCCTTACATTGGAGATTAGGAGGTGTGGGTTGGGGGCAGGGCACAAACATTCAGTCCACAATAGTTATGGAATTGACTATCTGTGGACCGGATGTGGGCCGTGTGGGGTAGAGTCAGCTGGGAGCTGTTCTAGGTCCTAAGAAGACCACATGGGGGCAACAGGGTTGTAATAGGGGAGGCTGCTAAGTCTGTGTGTGGAATGGATGACGGAAGGCCAAGAGGTGGTGCAAAGGGAAAGGGACAGTGGCCACCTGAATGAGATACCAGCAAGTCCACCAAACCAGCAGGGGAGAAGCTCTAACTCCTGGAGACTGCCGTCAGAGGGGCCCAACACAGGCGTAGAAGCCAGCGAAGAATCAGAAAGTGACAGAACTTTCCTGTGCCCTTCTCTTCACTCTGCCCTTCTGAGCTTTCACACCGGTGGGGCATGCGCTGGGAGGAGGGGACCCACTGGGCAGGAAATGAGTGGGAGAAGAGATCAATTGGCTACGTTTCTCCCCCTGAACACAGTCAACCTACCAACCACTGCCTGCAGCTAGAAGATGGGGAGAAGCCCGGCCTGAAGTCTGAAATGTTCACATCTTAGATTAGACATTTACAATTTCCAAAGGAGAGTGCTTTGTACTTAGAAGACTTAAGGACTAAGAGTAAACAGGAAAGTCAGAGATCTGCCAAATTTTCAGCCATTGCAGGGGAAAAGCTTCCTGTAAAAAGGTAGTGGGATAGAGTTGAATTCTGCTTATCTACGAAACATCATGCTCGTTCAATGTACTGTTTAGATGTTCAAAGAAAAGGGCAGACATTTCCTCTGAGAAATCCTGGTAATTTCCTCAGAATATAATCAATAAGGTGGCAAAGGACCATTCTGCATAGATGCTTCTCCTGTTCCCTAGTGCTAAATTTAGGCTACACTAATCATGGTGTGGTTATTAAACAGCGTTTTTCTTTCATTTTGTCACATCTTAAAATTCTTAGAGAAATTTCTGTACAGAATGCATTGCATACAGGTTCCATTTGTTTTCCCTGGCCAAGAGAAAGGTCTGTCACCAGGTAAATATGAAAGACCCAGGACTGAGAGGTGGAATGAAAAAGCTTTTCCACTACATTCACACAGACTCTTTTTCCTCTTGATTCCCCACTTACTCTTTTCGTCTCATTTCCTTCTTCTATAGAGTGGCAGTAATGGGTCTCAATTTCATTTTGTTCTTTTGATGGACGGATTCCCACAGTTAGACCAAATGAAAATCTGACCAGTAATGCCCACTTATCTACCTCTCTGAAGTATTGGAAGAATTAATGATGGACTGCAAAATGTACTGAAGATGAAGAGCACACCATGATAGTTGATGAGTATTATTGAAAAGTACCAATGGGTAAGTATATTTTAACAAATGTGGAAAAATCATACAGCAAAGGATCTTGGCTTGCTTGCCCTAGTACCTCAGTGCATTACGGTAGAAAGGAATATGCATAATATTTAAGGAGAAAAATAAAAGCAATAGCAAAACCCAAGACCATAAACACATTAAGAGTGAAATAGTCTTCGCATCTTAAAAAATCCAGCTAAATTTTTATTTATTTATTTATTAAAAGATTTTATTTATTTATTTGACAGAGAGAGAGATAGCAAGAGAGGGAACACAAGCAGGGGGAGTGGGAGAGGGAGAATCAGGCTCCCTGTTGAGCAGGGAGTCCGATGCAGGATTCGATCCCAGGACTCTGGGATCATGACCTGAGTCAAAGGCAGCTGCTTAACTGACTGAGCCACCCAGCTAAAATTTTAAAATAAAGCACTGGTTTATATACCCAGGATATAACGTATGCCTTGAAATTTTAGAATAGTCTATACAGGAAGGCAAGGGACCAAAGACAGAAATGTTCGAAATAAAACCATGGCAAAGAGATCAAAGATACTTTCCCCCGGATTCAAAATGCAGCATGGGCAGAATTCATTTGCTATGTATAAATTTGATAACTGCTTTTTATGTTATTAGTCTTGCAAAAAGAGATGAAATGGAGATACGAAAATTGCTTGCTTTGGAGGATAGTCAGGGAGCAGATGAAAACGCATAGCAAATTTGACAGGAGCAATGAGAGAGAAGTATGTTATTTATGAATTTGAGTATTTTAAAAGAAAGTTAAAGTCACTGTTTCCTTCCTGTACACTAATTATTCCAGGCTGTAAACCCTCCGGCAAATAGCAAATGGTTAAATTATTTTGGCCCTTAAAATTTCTCTTGGTTTTTGTACCTATAAGGATTAGATACTGTAGTCCTGTCTTTGCTTTGAGAGGGCTCTGATACCTTGTATATATAAAAGAGGTGTCCTAAGTCCATTCATAATATATTTAACTCCAAGTTTATTTTCTTTTCCATATTGTTTGTCTTTATGTTGTAATACACCAGTGAGCTGTAGCTAATGTTAAAGCTAAGACATTTAATTTAAATTCTCTAATCTTTAATACCATGTGGAACCGGTCATGCTGTGCTCTTGTAGATTCATATTTTTTATGACAATTTTTTCTTTTTATTCTTTATTCACATGTGCTAGTTTTTTCCCCAAATGTTTATACTTTTCCTTATGAATATGGTCTGAGTGTATTCACTGTAGTTAAAAGTATCTATTTTATACTTGATTCTGGAGGTAAGTTGATAAGGAAAATAAAAGTAGGAGTAGGTAGATTCTAATTTCAGTAAGGTAATTTTATTACCATTAAAAAACTTGGAAATACTATAATAATGGAGAGAATATTAAGGGACCTCATTTATTTAGGATTCTGGTGAGATAATTTGGTTTCTGCTCCTGTGTGGTGGGACATACATTCAAATATTTAAGTCCTGCCTTCCAAAACTGCTTATCTTAGTTTAAAAAAAAAAAAAAGAAAAAGAAGAAAGTCACTTGAGCATTTGATCAGATTGAATCAAAATTATATTTTCAGAGTATTTTGCATTACATTTTATTGATAAAAATCTAAATGTTATTAGACAAGTCCCAAATAAATAAAAATTTCATAGTCTAATTTAAGAAATTCTAGATTAAAATTTTTCCTTTTAACTTCTCTAAGACACTAGAACATTCTGATATATATCTCAAATACATCTAAATTTCCTTTTGAATTCTTCCTTTCTTCAAACTAACCATCTCATCTCATTTCTGTTCACTTTTGTGTCCTCTGTAGTAATGACGGGAATCCCGTTGCCTGGAGACCACTGTTGAAGAACATCAGTGCCACGGCCTCTTGGAGATTTAAGACATCTAATAAGGAGCTGACAGAAATCATCAACTTGCCCCTGAGAATGTAGCATTTTTTAAAAGTCACAATAAAGCACTTGTCTGGATATTACTTATTTCAGGTAATTTTTACAACTAAAGCATAGGACATAAAGGAGAAAAAAAATATACCTCTGGAAAAATCTAAATTTTACAAATCCATGCAAAAAGAAGGTGAGGCAAAAAGAAACCCTGAAATGTGCACTTTTTTAAAAAAATGGAAGAAACTTTCAGTTCCCCCCACATCGCTTATTTATTCTAATTTTTATTTATTTTATTTTATTTTTTTTTAAAGATTTTTATTTATTTGACAGAGAGAGCACAAGCAGAGGGAGAGAGAGGGAGAAGCAGGCTCCCCGCTGAGCAGAGAGCCCGATGTGGGACTCTATCCCAGGACCCTGGGACCATGACCCGGGCCGAAGGCAGCCGCTTAACCAACCGAGCCAACCAGGCATCCCTATTCTAATTTTTAAAACTATTCTAAAAGTCTCTATTTTTAGCAGCAAACTCAATAAAATGACATAAGGTCAACTGCGAAAAAAAAATCAATGACAAAGGGGATAAAACACAGCTACGAGAACTCCATATAGTAAAATCAGCAAAATGAAATGGCAGCCTACAGAATGGGAGAAAATATTTGCAAATCATGTATCTGATAAGACGTTAATATCCAAAATACATAAAGAATTCATACAGCTTAAGAGCAAAAAAGCTAATAACCCAATTAAAAATGGGCAAAGGGCCTGAATAGACATTTTTCCAAAGAGGATATTCAGATGGCCAACAGGTACACGAAAAGGTGCTCAACATCATTGATCATCAGGGAGATGCAAATCAAAACCAGGGTGAGATATCACTTTATGCCTGTTAGAATCGTCATCATCAACATGACAACAGAGAAATGCTGGCATGGATGTGGAGTGAAAGGAACCCTCATGCACTGCTGGTGGGAATGTAAATTGGTGCAGCCACTATGGAAAACAGTATGGAGGATCCTCAAAAAACTAAAAGTAGAACTATCATATGATCCAGCAACTCCACTTCTGAGTATATACACAAAGGAAATAACTATAATTAATGCTGTATGGTGTTTTTGAAAGTTGGTAACAGAGTAGGTCCTAAAAGTTCTCATTACAAGGAAAAAATCTTTTGGTAACTATATGAAGTGATAGGTGTTAAAGAATGATGGTATTATAATAATCTTGGAACATAATAAAATAATACAGATAAATCATAATAATAAAAAAATCCCAAAGAACCCTATATCAACTTGGGGCATTTTTTTTTTTAAGATTTTATTTTTCATTTTTTTTTTTTTTTAGAGAGTGAGAGAGACAGTGGGGGAGAAGCCGAGGAAGAGGGAGAGAATCTCAAGCAGACTCCCTGCTGACCGTGGAGCACAATGTGGGGCTCCATCTCACAACCTCGGAGATCATGACCTGAGCTGAAATCAAGAGTCGGAAGCCCAACCAACTGAGCCGCTCAGGCACCCTTGGGGCATTCTTAATAAGGTCTTAGAGTCCAGCACATCTTAATGGTATCTGAGCATCAAGAACAAATTAATACATGGTAGAAGGTGTGCCCTGTTTAAAAAGTTAGGATGTATTTGAGTCATATTTTGCATTTTTGAAAGATAAAATATTTTTAAAATGTTTACACTCAAAGGAAAAAACTTCTGTAAACTGGGAATTTAATATGAATTAAAACACAGATCAGGGATGAAATTAAAAAGAAAAAATGGCCCTTCTTTGCTAAACATCAATTTTTTTTAAAGATTATTTATTTATTTGAGATAGAAAGAAAGAGCACATGAGCAGGGGAGGGGGGTGGGCAGAGGGAGAGGGAGAAACAGGCACCCCCCTGAGCACTGAGCCTGACATAGGGCTCTATGCCAGGACCCTGAGATCATGACCTGAGCCAAAAGCAGATGCCTAACCGACTGAGCCACCCAGGCGCCCCAACATTTATAGTTTGGATGCTATTAATTACACTTTGTTTTTCATAAACAAATATGAATGATCTATGCCTCATGGTCACCAAGGTATGGTAAATTATTTAGAATTAATATTCCCTCCAAAAATCTTTATCCCCAAGCATTTAAAAAGCAATACAAGCATGAGTTGCAATTAAGATGTGCTTCTCCATGAGAATTTGGAAGCTGCTGGGAGGTGGTACATTCCAGAGAGCTTTAGGTTGTTGTGCTTTGATAACAGACAGAACTAAATCTCTGCTACATTTCATGATGTGACCATGCATTGGCTTTTCAACTTCACTAAATTTCATCTTTTTTGCAGGAAAAATGCATGTATTTATTGTACTTAACTCCTAAGGTTGTTATGAGGGTGAAAAAGTAGGTATATAACCAGAGTTTGTATTATAAGTGCTTAATAAACAGGAGCTGTTACCATCATCATTCCTATAAAGTTCTATTAAAGCCAAGATGATCATAAAGTTCTGAGACTGAGTGTGAGGGCAATCACAGAGCCACATAGTTAATTGTGAACTGCTGTTCAAGAAAATAAAAGGAAGTTATTGTTTACTTAGCACCATACCAAGTACATTCTGAAGAAACTAGGTTAAGATGAACAAAAAACAAACAAAAAGGTTTTTAATGCTTTTTGTAGATGTGAGAGAAGAAATGGAGGTAATACTGCATTAGGAACTAGTCATTCTTGGGAGAAATACAAAATCAACATCCTGCACAGTTCTATCCCATCTCTATTTTGTTTGCTTGTGACCGTTCACCATCAATACGCCTCCCACTCCCCACTGGCAATCACTCTTCTGCTAATGATATGAGGCTTCAGATTCCCTTCCTAATCTAGAGAAAGGGCGTATGAGAAATTCAAAGCCCTCATGCTCTACCCTAACTAGACTTGACTCCTAATCCATTGTCTTTACTTCTCACAGTCAATGTCACCTTGCCTCTAACCGACAGTCACCCTATATCAACAACACGCCATTAATCTAATTAATCTGCACTATGTTAAGTATTCTCCAGACATGAACAATTTATGAACTGTGACAGTCTTCTGACATTTAGGGGGCTTTCCCTCCACTGTTGTGTTAATGATATTTCACTGCATTTTTGGATTCACAAACTCTATAAATATTATTCTCAACCGTCATTGCATTGTGTTTTCCAAAGCATCCTGGGTCAACGCTAAATAAGGAGACAGAGAAAATCAGTTTTAAAAAGACCTGAAGGTGAACTGTAGGGGCAGCTACATTTTCAAATTCGACTTCCCCAAAGAAGATTTTCTGGTCCTAGTTTCAGAGTTAAATCATGATGCAACAGCAGAATGAAGTTGGTGCTTTTGGTCTGAAGCACCTCTTCATGCGTTTCTATTATCAGTGTGTTCTGTGCTCTGAATCTTATCTCGGATATCTGACCCAGGTACCTGTGTTGGGAGTCCTCCCATTATAGGGAAAGAAACAGGAGCAAAAGGTGCATGAATCTTTGTAGGCTCCTTACCCCATCTAGGTGGGTGCTCACTTGCAAAATGCTTCTGGCCCCTCATCTGAACACTTGACCACTGATAACTCTACAGGCAAATGAGGCCCATAATGGGCAAAGGATCGAGGTTTATAGCTAATCACAGAGAAACTAGAATCATTTCTAATATTATCCTTTTCATAACAGTGCTGGTGAGCTCTGAGCTTGGATTTTTCCACTTGCTGCATGAATATACGAAGACTGTAAGAATACGACTGGGGGAAAAAAATCAAATAGTTGCTACAAAAACCCCTCAGCCCACAGGTTGCTGTGATTTTCACTTGAGTATGCTCAAGGGTTCATTTTACTTTTGACTTTAAAATTCACACTCAATTTTGACACAAGACGTATGACTCAGTTCTTTACAGTACCAATCCTGTAAAAACAGATGACTCAGCCACCAGTTATAACAGCAGATTATTGCAGTATTCATCCAAACATGCCTTATGCTGACTAGAGAGGGCTTTCAAGTTAATGAGGCAAAACCCACAATGTCCCAATAGAACATATGCTGTCCTGTAATAAGGGGGAAAAAAAAGAACCAAATACAAATACTCAACAATATAGTATCATTGAAGTGTAATCCCTTAAAAAAATCAGGCATCTTTACTTTTCCCATCATTTGATTATTAATTTTAGAATAGCTGCTCTCTTAAATCAAATCTATTTTTACACAAATTTCAGAATTCAGAATCCCCACATGAACCAAGAAACCAGAGGCTGACTTTTCTTAACAGGTTTCCCTTTCATAGCCAAAGCATCCACTGCAAAAGAAAATGAGGTTAGCCCTAAGAAGAATGATAATCATTCAATAACACCGGCTGTAAGCCAAAGAAGAATTACAAAAATAAGTCAATCTTGTGCAATAAAAAGCCCCAAAATACCCCCCAAACCTGAGTAAGAACAAGTTCAAAATTAAAGTACTGTTTATTTTCAACTCACCCAACAAACTGCTGAAAAAAATTACATTTTCCCTCCAGAAGGAAATGATGACACAATGCCATTTTCTACCCACTGAGCATCACGGGATGGGTATCAAATACAGACATGACATCCTCTCACTTATGTTAATGCCAGGCAATAGAGCCAGAATGGGAGAGTTATTAATTCATTCAACGGGGAGTGAGCACCTACCATATATCTTCTATTCCTCTATCTGAGGGGCTTGGCATACAAAGGGTTGTGTGGTGGGGGTGACAGGTGTAAGCTCCAGTTCACCACTGAAATAAAGTTACAACTGAGGGGGCCTGGAGACGGGGTCAGGGAAGCCTTCACAGATGCCATGACATATAAGCAGAGGCCGAAAGCAATAGAAATTTGCCAGTTAGACAAGGCGAAAAAAATGTTCCAGCAGAGGGCATGTGATGTGCAAAGTCACAGATGTGTGAAGTAGCTTTGGATGTTTGGAAAACAAGCAGTGTTGCGTGTCTGTTGCAAAAATTGCAATCTAGCCGTGATGAGAGCTGTGGCTACAAATGCAGGCAGGAACTTGATGGTAAAGGATCTTTAAGTCCAAAGAGGTCAGCTCCTCCCTTGCAGAGAGGGGAGTGACACGACCAGATTTGTGTTTAAACGAAAGATACTTCCTGGAGCTGTGTGCAGTGAGATCCGTTAGGGGATGTTCCCGCAATTCATATGACAGGGAAGGCAGGTTGGATTTGAGGAGAGAGGGGAAAGGGTGGATTTGTGTAGGATCAAGAACCTGGAAATGGTTACCAACCTCTGGGGTTTCTGACTTGAGCTACTGGGGTAATGAGTGTTTTCTGAGCTGAGAACAGGAATACAATGGACATAAATTCTGGACTCGGCTGATGTAGATGGGAGACACTGAGGCAAAAGGTGTCTTTTGAGTGTCCAGAAGGAAATGACAAAGCAAAGCGTTTGTAAGATTAATGTATTCTTTCTGTCGTTACCTAGGACATTCCAAGTGCTGGTTTCATTTGCTATGAAATTATATGCAACTATTTTTGATGATTTACAGTGGAGGCTTGGGAGAATAAAGACTCCTGCAAGGATTTCTTTGATAGCTTTATGGCAAGTGTTTCAAATAAGGGCACTGCAGCCTAGGGTATCACTGGGAACCTTGCTAGGAGTCTGACTGTTATCAATATAATTTGCAGTGTGAGTTAAAACCACCAGCACTGGTTTGGTGAGAATTAGTCATGGATCAAAACCACACATCCTGAAGTCAGGATTATATTGCAACAACATCATCCATCATAATAACTGTTTAGTTATTTAGTTAGTCATAACTAAACTGTTTAGTTATTTAGTTAGTCATAAATAGGCTTTTAGAAAACAATCCTTTAAAAATATAAATTAAACTATGTCACTACACACTTCCCAGTGGTTCCTGCTTTCCCTCAGAGCAAGTGCCTTTAAAGTCCTTATAATAGCCCACAACGCCCTCCATGATGCACCTCTTCTCCTATTTCTCTTCATTTCTCATTACTGTCTTCCTCCAATCACTGTTTTCCAGCTACACTGGTGTCTTTGCTGCTTCTCAAATGTCAGACACTTGACAATTCCCTTTGGCTGAGAATGCATTTCCTGCAGATTTCTCTGCATGGTTTTGAGTTATTAATCAAATGTTATCTTTTAAGTGAGTCCTTCCTTGCCCCTTGATTTAAAATTATGGCAAATCCCTATTACCTTCTCCTGCTTTATTGTCCCGAAAGCACCAAAGAGGAGTTCTTGTACTTTCTCTGACCATCATAGCAGCAGAGAATGCTAACATGTTAATAGCAGCTGTAGATAGGCTCGAGATGGGGTGTATTAGAGCAGGCTGAGCTTATGCTGCCGTGACTAACAAGCCCCAGATCTCAGTGGCTTAACTGAGAAAGCTTAGTTCTTCCTCAAAGTCTGCCTAAGTCAGGTGACTCACTGTGATGGCTCTCCTCCATGCAGTGACTCAGCGATCTAGGCTCTTTGCATCTTTTGGCCCCACTCTCTCAACATATGGCCTCCATGCTTGCCCCCAAAGGGATTGTGTTGAAAGGACTCAGAGAGCCTTTTACTTAACTCAGGCTAGAAGTGACATACAGCACCTCTGCTCATAGTCCAATGGTCAGCTCGTCCCATGGTCCCACTTAACTATGAGAGGGCTGGTTAGAAGTGTAGTCTTCTACGTGCCCTTCAAGGCAGGAAACCTGGACACTGGTGCACACTCCTCAGGTTTCACACAGCAGCCAGCTTTGGAATGATCTTCTTAAGATGCAGCATGAAGCAATGGAGAAAGCGCAGGAGTAGGATCCAGCAGAGCTGAGCTCAGATCTGGTTGAACTGATCACTACCTATGTTGCCTTGAGTAAGTCAGTTTTTAACTCTGGGTCTCTGTTTTCAAATCCACAGAGTGGGGAAAATAATACATAGCTTGCTTGTATCAGAGGGATTTTTTAGTTTCAACTATAAAAGTTTGCAAGCAGAATTACCAAATTTAGGCTAGTATTGAAATGCAAGTACATACATAATGCAGTATGAAACCTAGAAGCCTAATTGGATGAGATATAATGAATTATACTATTTTACATCAACTTTGTTAGAGCCATAGAGAATGGTACCATTTTCAGTCTTGCTTGCTTAACAGCTGTGACACCTAAGCAGTGAAGTAAGGAACTGTTTATGTATCAGCGTTGGTGTATTTTCTAAGTATGGAGCATGAAGAAAATGCAAAGGAAACTGTGATATACGATAAACATTATATATGATAAACATTAAAGATTACCCAAAGCATGAGTTTGCAGCCTCTGAAGACACTTTTGTGTTATCACTGCCTTCAAGAGTGAATGAATGCAATATTGGCAGCTCACATGGTATCTTACACTCTCTTCCTGGAGGGCGTCCACCTGGATCCGCTATTGCACAACAAAGCCAACCGTATGTTCCAAGGATTGATGTGTAGTTAGGACAAGGTATAATATGACCAGCTATCAGCTATTTGAAAAATTTCATTAGAATGTATTTAAGGATATATCAAAGTCCTTTAAAAACATTACTTTTTATAGATTTGGGTAATTAATGACTATATTTGTTGTCAGACTTCAAAAAGATACTGAATTCATATGTAATTATTTTGCAAGTCACCTCCAGATTATTGATGATGGCAAAATATTATGGTAACAGTGGTAATAACGGTATTCTCTTTATCAGTTTTCTAGATGCAAAACAATCTTATCAAAAGCAAGTCTAATCTTTTAAATCCATGTAATGTGAGATACTCAAAGGTGTGAATTCTATGATTAAAATATGCTTTGGGTTCTCTGGAAAACTCAGTGGAATCTATAGCATTAGGATAGGAAGAGTCCAAGTCACCTGTTTCAAATTAACAAACTGTCCCTGTAGAGAACTTCTTTTTGACTCAGCCTGCCATTTATTTTCTGAGAAAGCTCATTTCACTCACTTGTATCTATGTCTGACAGAAAAGTATTTCCTACATTAAGCAGATTTGCCTCTGTGGAACCTCCACCCATTATTCTAGTTCAGAAGATGTTTTTTTGCAGTTAGTAACAGTACTCTACACGCACTAAACATTAGGAACATCCTGACTGTCATTTAAAGGTCGCAGATTCACAGCCTAAAATATTACGAGTCCAGAAACCAATCAGAACTACACTAACCAAGACACAAAAATCCATATAAGAAGTTTCTAATTGAACTTTGTCATGGAATTTTTCTGCCTAGTCATTGGCCCACATAACTCTACTGTGACAAACAAGAGAAATGGATCCAAAAAAGCCAGCTGCAAATAGATACCCACAGCCACGTGCTGGAATACAGACAGCATATCAGTAATGAGATAAAGCTTCTGAAGCCGAAGGTCACTGAACCAAGATTTCTGACACATATCCAAGTGCTGACTTTTAAAATGGAGAGTAACAGAAAGCACAGTGAATTTTATAGGACGTTTTATGCGATGTTATGATAAAATAGGACCAGGTTATTGCAAAGTGAATGCTCCTTTGTTTCCTTTTACCAACAACTTCTATGCGTTACCGCCTTGACCCCGGGGTCTGGGTTACTTCCCGCCCCCCGCAAAGATTACAACCTTGAGAACGACTGCTTTTCTTCTTTTCTTCTCTTTAGACACTTCTGCCATCCTTTTTTATAAAAGAGATTCAGAGAGCTGGTCACAGTGCCAAGCTGATGATCATATATTGTGTGGACGTTTTTGAAATAGAGAGTGTACAATAATAAATGGCCCAGGTCAAACTCCCTTTCTACACGGCAGTTCAAAAGTGTGTCAAAAGCGCACATGCACACAGACACAGATACACACAGCATGAACCACAGTCTCTTATCTCACATCTGTCTCCCTACGAATCTATTTCTTGTTCAGGTTTGACAGTATCATGCTTGTCTTTAATAAACACCATCAATGGTTTTCTGCCATGGCCTGTGTATCATTCACATTGAGTCTCGATTGGGGCCGGCAAACAATAACCTGAGGGCCAAATCTGGTCTGCTGCCTATTTTGTATGCTTATCATTTTTTTTATTTTTACATTTTTAAGAGTTGGAAAAAAATCAGAAGAATAATATGTTGTAAAATTCAAATTTCAGGGTCCATAAATAAGGTTTTATTGGAACACATCCATACTCATTTCTTTACATACTGTCTGTGCCTTTTGAGCTACAAAGGCAGAGCTGAGTACTTGCAACACAGACCACATGGCCTGCAAAGCCTAAAATATTGACTATCTGGCCAAATAAAACAGAAGTTTGCCAACTCCCAGCATGTGAGAATGGACCTCCTGGGGTTGGGTAGCGCCTAGCCTGTGTTCTATACTAAGCCCTGATCTCTAATACTCATCATACGAAAGGCTTCTTCCCTAGGCAGGCAATTAAGATTTTCCATAAGCTAGGCCCAGATCAGATTCTCTCCAGCCTTCCCATCCTCTACTTACTCTTTTCCTGGTGCCCTGTGTCTGTTTATGTTGCTTCTGTGTTCTAGCTGTGTGCTCTCCTTTATCTGTTGGTCGATATCCAACATTGGAAGCACAGCTCAGATGTCACTTTGAACTTGGCAGCTCAGAAATGTGCCTACCTAATCTGATTTCTTGTTTCTATGAATTTGCACAGGGTTTTGATGTTCTCCGACACACTTCCCATATCCTGTCTTGCACTGTACTTCATTATGCACTTGTGTCATTTCCCCTGTTTTGTCATACAATCCTTAAGTGTAAGGACTTGCCTTAGTTATGTTTGTACCTTTTAAGAATGGTACCTTTTAAGAATGCCTGGTACTGATCCCAGTAGACTGAGAGACTAGTGCCAGGAACCATGCCAAGCCTCTGCACACACACACATAATCACATACTTCCTTAGTTGCAGGGTCCAAGGAAATTCCAGTGGCATGGCAAAAGACCCAAGTTAGTGCTCTAATAAGGCGGCTGTGGGGAGGGGTGGCTCAGTTCCATAAAAATAAACAAAATCTTGGAAGGACACAAGCCCAGGACCCAATCCAGGATCAGGAAATATGCTGAATAACAGACAGGCCCTACACATGGGCGACGTTCAATCCATGTAGCAGGATTCCAGGCACCAGACCAGCGTCCAGGACAACAGAACCAATAGAGAAGGGGATAGCGTGAGGCAGTGGAGTTTGGCCAAGAGAAAAGAGAAGCCAGGTCTGAGAAAGACTGGGGTTCTAAAGAGCTGACTGGGCAAAAGTCCAAAGACAGAAATCACACTCAAAGTCAGAGCTAAGCTGCTACCAAGACTGTGACTGGAGCTGTGTCCCGAATACTGGGTAAGGATTCTTTAAATTATTCTTGCTGAGGCTTAGATGTCATTCTAGGATCTAGAGAGCAGAGAAAGTTATGAAGAAGGCTTCCGTGGCCCTGGCAGTGGGGGAAGACAAGAGACCCGGAGGGAGGGACAGAACAGAGCCTGGGAAAGGCCAGGGGGAGAGGGAGCTAAACGAGCACTAACCACCTACCAGGCCTGTGATAAGGCTTTTACTTACAATATCTCATTTGGCATGCACAGGAGCTCTGCAAGGAAGCAGCATATCTCCATTTTACAGAAGAGGAAATTGTGGCTTAGAGAGATTATAAATAATTAGTGGAGCTGAGGACTGAAGGCAGACATGAATGAACCCAAACCAATTCCCCTTGCTCCCTACCACTACACGTCATAATTCTTCAAGAAATATCTATTAAGTGAGTAATGAAGATAGAGAAATTATAAATGGACTCTCTTTTTACCATTTAACACGGTGAACCGGATAGCATGTTGGTGGCTGTTTTTTCTCTTATCATGGGCCCATTGAACTCACAACTCACTCATGGATACTCTGTGTCCCACAGGCCAACATGCACATGAAAGAATCTAAGAACATACTGGTTGCTCTAGTCAGTTGCTTTGGATTTCTGGCCTTCCAAGCCTTTCACAGACTTGTCCAAACTTCATTTCCAGACTTATGTTAGTTTGCACAGTCCTCCTGGGCTACTAACTGTCTTCCAATGAACCCTTGTACACCTCGTTCCCTGCCTGTTAAATGTTACCTCCTCAATAAAACCCTCCTTGATTGCTTTATTCAGAAAGCTATCTCTTTCTTTCTCCCACTCTGACAGCATTTCTTTCTATGCCTTTCACATGGCTCTCTACTTGATCTGAAATAATACTTGCATACATACTATAAACTCCAAGAACTTTAGCGTTTGTGTACATCTTTTTACCCACCCCCTACAGAGCCTTAGAATAGCATTCATACAAAAGGTGTTTAAAAATAGAAGTACTAAAGAACAATGTATACATGAAATTTCACTTTCTTAGACTCCTCTACCTGGGCATTTTTTTCCCTCGAGGTTTTGTTCTCACACTCACCTTATTTTGACTTGGTTCTTTCTGGTCACTGAAATTCTTTAGAATGAAGCAGTTGTATGAAACGGAAAAAGATGGCATATTGAAGGTAGACTACGGCTCTTTGTTTTATACTACCTGCAAAGCCAATGTGACGACCTGAGTCTAAAAGTTCTTTTCACTACCAGTCGGATGTATGGGCTTATTGCCATACAATCTGCTTTTCAAAGTCTTTAACAAAAATACTGATTTGATCCTATGATCACGTCCTCTCTAGAAGTACTATTTAAATTACTATATAATTTCTTTTCTTATATAATTTATATCATTGTGACAGTCTGATAGTTCGCAGGGGCCCCTTGAAAGCCACTTTGGATTACAGGGCAAGACTTATATTTAAGACATTTTAAAAGCATATTAAAAAGGATTTTTTCTCATTTGATAAATATTAATGCATTTATTAATGGACAATCTAAGGGTCCTAAATTATGAAAAAATAATTTTGAGTTTGCAGTGATTACAAGAAAATTAACTACTACTAAAGCTAAAATATGAAATATAGTCTTCTGGAAATTGCACCTTAAAAATATTAATGACAGAATATCTAATGGATGGCTTCTGCTGGATGATAAGTTCCCTAGTTTTGATATATTTACAGAGGCTTCCCAAAATGTAATCAATTTTTAATTATCTGTGTAAATAGACAATAGTAGCTGTGTATATCATGTATGATAATGGTCAAACTTAAAGCCACTTATATTGGCCTCTAGAATGTATTAAATATTTTAAGGGATATTGCTTTAAAATTCTTTGCTTAACTTAATATTAAGATTATTCTATAAGCTAGCAAGTAATAAAGGGATTCTAGGGAATAATAAAAGAAATGTTTAGCCAGGATTTAAGAATTCACTAGGATAATCTATCCAATTATAAATTTGACTACGATTGAGGCTAAAAATAATGTACCTATCAATAAAGTGAATTACAAGAAAAAAAGAGAACATCCTGTATGGGATTATCTGAGCCAATGCTTTCTAGAATCCATTTTTTACTTTTCATGTTATTATATGCAGTTTTAATATGGTATTACTTCTAATCTTTCAAGTACTGCTGTCAGATAAACCTAATTATTTCCTAGAAGTGGCTTGTTCCTGAAAGAAAAATGCAGCAGAAAACTTATTCACCCATTTAAATATATTTACTTTACATTAAAATATTTTCTTCTTTATTCTTTTTCTAAAATAGGAGGATTCAGGTGGGTGAGGAATCAGACATATTGGCAGAGGTAAGAGTAAGTAAGGGTGGGTAGAGGAGGGGGAAGGAATCCCCAAATTTGAGAGAGCCTAGACCATTCTTCATTAAATCTCTAAGAGACCCCAGAAAATTTCCACACAGGCACATACAAATATTTCTTGGAGACTGCTATGGACTGAGTATTGGTGTCAAGATTCATATGTTGAAGGTCTAATCCCAATGCAATATATTTGAAGGTGGAGCCTTTGAAAAGCAATTAGATTTAGATGGGGTCATGAAGGTAGAGTCTCCATGATGGGATTAGTTCCCTTACAAAAAGAGACCAGAGAGCTTGGTCTCTCTCCATCCCGTCTCCCATCTTGCTAGCAAGAAGGCAGCTGTCTGTAAAACAGGAAGAGGGGCCAGACCAAGCACCCAACCATGCTGACTGATCTGAGATTTCCCAGTTCTTAGAACTGTGTGAGAAATAAATGTTGGTTGTTTAGGCTACCCAGGATGGTATTCTGTTACAGCAGACTGTACAGACCATAACCTGGAGGAACGTCAGTGTTCCTCTCATGTGGCCCTGAGTTCTTGGCCGACAAAATCAATGAACCTTTGTGTCACAGCACTGATGCTGACTACACACAGCTTGCTGAAGACACTGGATCTTTAACTCTGTGGCTGGGGCCACTCTCTGTGCATTTGTGAGGGCAATGCTGAGACAGTGTCTGGTCCTACGAAATTAGCTCCTAAGTATCTGCAACCCTCTGAGATCCATACTTAGACACCTGGCATGGTTGTCCAGGACACTGACTTCTTGAAGCTATTTAGTTTTAGTCTCATTTGTGAAAAGAAGAAATTATACTATTTTCTTCTTTGTAGCTCCATACTTTATGATGCTCAGACTATTATCCTCCTAACATTCAGCTTTCTGACACAGCAACGAATGGTTCAATTTAGTTCCTCACCAAATGATTACTCAAAGAAAGGGAAAGGGCTCAGGATCAGGTGTCACCCTGAATTCAAAAATTAAGCAGTAATTTACATTCTTGAAGTATCATTGAAATCCTTGCAACAGATGTCTTTTTTTTCCCCCAAACTGAATAGATTCAGTAGAACCATCCCTGTTCCTTTACTCAGGGCTAGATCCTAACATCAGAGGCACCATCAGTTAGTTTTTGTACAGGATCATGTCTTCTTATTCACTGTTGTATCCTCAGAATGAATTAATATGTATATCTTAGGCTGTATAGTCAATCCATTCACTCATTTGATTCAACAAATATTTATTGAGAGCCTACCATGTGCCAAGTACTATTTCGGATGTTTGGAATACATTAGTATGATTCTTGTCCTTGAAGAGATTACATTTTGGAAGCAGTAGGGGAATAAGCAATAAACATAATAAAGTATAAATATTGTCAGAAGAGATTAAATCCTACAAGGAATAAAAGAATAAGTCAGCAGTATAAGGAGGATCAAAGGAAGGGATGCAAGTGAGTTGACATACAAAGACTTGAAGGTGGTGAAAGAGTTGGCGAAGCAGACACCTGGAAAAAGACATTTCAGGCAGGTGGTACAGCCAGCGCAGGAGCATAAATTTTTTTTAAAAGAATCCCTGATGGACTGCTATCTCTATTGAACTCTTGAGTATATTTCATTCCAAAGAGAATGATCAACAAAATTTGATTGTTTGATTGGGTCTTGGATACATGCTATACATCCTGATAAACCGACTCATAGCTCATCTGTGACATAGCTTCTGAATTAAAGGCAAAGAAGAAAACAGGAAGAGATAGAATAAAATATTTTTTCATGTTTGGAAAGAAATTCAATTCACTTCTTTAGAAGATTAAGGTAGGATTTATAATGTTTCTCTCTCTCTCTCTCTCTCTCTCTCTCTCTTTTTTTTTTGTTGGAGCTCCTTGTTAGCTGTTTTGTCCTTCAGGAAAGGATATGGAGTGGTATGGATTGAAAAGGTTACACTGTCATCATTTGCAAACGAATTCTATCTGGAATGAAAATTCGCATAGTTTTACATCGATGTTGTATTGTTCGATGTGGTATTTTGTCAAAACTGTATGCTGTCTACAACAAATATTTACCTTTATGTATTAGCACATTTAAATCAACCACAGTGTTAGACACTCACACTATGAGAATAGTAACAATTGGCAATGTGGACAATACTCCAACTATAGAGAAGATTTACCATATATTATTTTTAAAAGTTTACAGAAGATACTTTAACCTAGTCTTGATCTATTCCATGAAGGAATTTTAGTGGACTTGAAAGCCTCCAAAATTATTTGCAAAGCTGTGTATTCATAGGAATCTGTTAAATTATCCAACAGTTTTAATGACAATTTTAAAGGCACCTGTGACAGCCCCCTCTTTGGGGAAAAACAAAGAACTTAAAAAAACACTTAGAAAAAAGCACAGATGGTATTTTTTAAGGGTTATTTATATATCAGAAGAGTACTCTCCCAATTTATGAACAGTTTGATTGCTCACAAAATTTAGTTTTGTTTTGACCAAAGTGGACCTTTTGCTTTCACATCTTGATTTTTTAGAGAAAATGTTTTATTTTACCTGCTATAAATTTTTATAATGAGGCAGACCTTAATTTATTTCAATCAACACTGATAAGCACCTACCATACACTGGGGGATACAATAATGAAAAAAGATAAAAAGACCAGGTTCTTGCCCTTGAAAATCTCACAGTATATCAGGAGAGATGGAGACACAGCGATTGGTCATAAATTGTGAAAAAATATGATCAGGGAAATGAATTCAAGGGCAGTTTTATCCCTGGGATAACTGAATTCCCGGGGAAGGAATTGGTTATTGGTACTGGAAAGATGAACAAATTTTTCCAGGCCCAGGAAGAAACCAAGAGTGTTCTGGGCACAAAGAACAATAAGTATTAAAGCGAAAACGTTCAGTTTTGTGAGAATACAGGCTTGGGAGGAAGGCGTGGGGGATTTGGCCGAGAGGAAGTCTGGTAAGGTGAGGCCAGACTACAAAGAGCCTCGGGACCATCCTAAGCATCTGGACTTGTGTATGTCAGGTGATGAAGTACTGAAGGTGTCAGATAGAGGAGAGACATAATCAAATTATTTTAGAAATCAAACTCTGGTGGATAAGATGAGGCCAGACTGAGAGTACCAGAAGCTACTGAAAAGAGATATGCTTGGATTTGTAACAGAATATAGCTACTCTTGTCTCTCTTTTATTTGTTCATTTATTTATACACCTTTCTTCTTTATTGTAGCCTATAGAAGGATCACAACCTGCTTCCAAAACAATTCCATGGTTCAGAGAGAAAGGCTGAGTAGTAGCAGAATGGGCAAGATTCACTTCACTGTTGTCCTTCCACGGTTATTTCAGATTGAGGTATATTCACTTTCATTGTAGAAGTCTAGAACACGTCTAGTCTAGAAATTTTCTTTCCCTAACTTCATGCATCTAATCTATCAACCATTACTATTGTTTCTTCCTCCAAAACGTTCTGAATCTGACCTCTCTTTCTTCCCAGGCCATTACCTGAGCAGAAGTCCCCATCTTCTCTCCTGCTCCCCAAGAAGGCTCCAAAGTGGGGTCTCTGCTTTCTCTCTTGCCCTTCACCATCTGGCGCCCACATGAAAGTGAGTGACCTTTTAAAATAAAATACAAATCAAATCATTCTCCAGAGGCCCCAGTCCTGACGAACATCTGTGTATTTCTATTCCTTTTTTGTCCCTGGAGATATCGGTCTTATTTTTGAGCCCTATTGCAACTTTTTATTGGCTAAGTGTTATGTGAGCCCTATGGAAGGCACTTCACCTCTTTGACTCTTGGTTTTGTTTGTTTGTTTCATTTTCATCTTTCAAGTGGTATAATAACTCTTTTTTTTTTAAGATTTTTTTTTTTTTTAATTTATTTGAGACCGAGAGAATGAGAGACAGAGAGCATGAGAGGGAGGAGGATCAGAGGGAGAAGCAGACTCCCTGCCAAGCAGGGAGCTCAATGTGGGACTCGATTCCGGGACTCCAGGATCATGACCTGAGCCGAAGGCAGTCGCTTAACCAACTGAGCCACCCAGGCGCCCTAAGTGGTATAATAACTCTTGAGCTTACTTCAGGGTTCTAGATATCACAGGAAGGTGAAGGCATTTTAAGATTCAGGAACCCCACTTAGGGACAAATCATACGTCCTCCAAACACCATGGCCCTGTTAATTCTCAAAATCTGCCTGAGCGAAGGCAGTCCTTTCTGTTCACAAAATAAGCCAAGAGTTCAAGTCAATCAGTCATAATGAATTAGGTAATAAAGTAAGTTGACCCTTCAGTGAAGAAGCTCTGGATTCCTTTTTTTTTTCTTGCAAATACTGTGTTTATGACATGAATGATCAGAAGTCACGGAAAGGCTGCCCTCCTATAACTTTATTCTGCCCAGGAAACATAGCAAAGTCATTGGGACATTTGAAGCAAATTAGAGCCAGAGCAGAGACCAGAAGCACAGCCAGTTTCCCACTTTTCTTTGTCCACAGGCCAAAATATGACAAACGTACTGGGGCTTGGAATTTGAAATTAGCAAGTACAATTTCTAAAATATTATGGTGTTTTGTTTTTTCAGGCATGAAGTTGTGTGAGCTCAGTATGTTTTAATTATGTAAAATAACCCAATTTACATAACCAATTAAAGTCAAACCACTTTTATTTTTCTCAATGAATGTTGTATAAACCTTGAAGGTTAGAAAGTCAACCACAAAAGAGTTCTAAAAGGGAGCTCTTTATATCAGCCACGAATCTAGAAATCTTTCTTTTTATGGACAGTTACTTGACTGTTGAATAGTTCTGTTTTCATCAAGTAAAACTGGCCTATGTTGGGATGAATATAATCCATTTCATTGCTGCTTCTGTACATTTCTTTTATTTTGCATGAATATGGCCAGATGAATCATACATAAAGAAAGCTTAGTTCCTCCAGAACACTGCTATTTTACAAAGAACTCTGCTGCCAAATTCAAAGATAAATTCAGGTTTTAGGTATCAGAATCTTTTTATAGGTCCCAGGAGAATATCTCGTTCAAATAATAAAACAGCTCAGCGATCAGAGGTTCTGTTCACCTGTTGTGTCTCCAGAAATATGATATTCTACAAAGTCTGAGATAATGAAGGGTAGGCATTATCATTACCCTTTTTCAAAAAGCTCAGTCAAAGGAATGAACTGTTTTATGAAAACATCATATGGAAACTTCAAGAAATAAACTCAGGCAATTCTATAAAAAAAGGTAAAGGAAAAACTTAAAAATCTGGAAATGTTCAGAAATCTGGTTAACAATCAAAAAGAAGCAAACTATTTTGACAGAATAGAAATAGAAATATTAATTTTATGCCAAAATATCATTTTGTTAGTAACTAAATTGCTCCTTTTAACTCAAAGGGTATTCATTTAAAACCCTTAGGTTTCTTTTCAGAAATTCCTGTAAAATAATATTTGCCAGAAATCTGTTGATGCAACTTTAGAAAGACCCTAAAATGGGAAAAAAAAAAGTGAAAATAAAATCTAAGATTCAGTTCAATCTACTGGGATGGTACCATTATTTATATAATCAGAGAGAAGCAATTTCCTAATCGGAAATCAATTTGACTTGTTATTGAGGAGCTTGGTTACTGATTATCTGTGGCCATCAGACAAGAAAGTGTGCAAGAGAAGGAAGAACATTCAAATAAATCTCTTATGCCCCTTTTCAACAAAAGTCTTCTGGGACAGGAAGGCTAACACTATAAAGTTTTGCTGGTTTCATGTCTATTTCACAGATACCTAGTCCATTATTGAGAGCAAACAAAGGGGCATAGTGAAATTAAAATAATTATTGAGTCCTTCCTCTTTACACTTTACAGATACTTATATAAAGTATCTGTAAATAGATACTTATATGTTTTACTTATTTTACTTATATAAAGTATCTGTAAACAGATACTTATATGTTTACCTTATTTCTCACAACAATCCAATAGTTATGTATTGTCATTGATGCTTAGCATATAAAGAAAGTAAGGCTCAGAGGTGTTAATTAACTTGCCGAAAGTCCCCGGGTTACTAAGTGGCAGAGGTAGTGATTTGAATAGGAGTATGCTTAGTTCAAAGCCCATTCTGTGTCCATCACATCAGAATTTGTTACATATGTTCCTTTTGGGTAGTTTTAAAAAGGTAGAAGGGTTTATGAAATAAAGGAACTTCTGATAAACTGGATATAAATGACCTTTTATAGATTGAGTCATATATGAACATACAACACACATATATAATTCATATATTGAATTAATGAGTGTCATGCATTACATTTGTAAAGTATAAAATTCATGAAGAAAATAGGCAACCACAATTTTTATTTAAATCTTAAAATACAAATGACCACTCTTGGCTTTGCCTAAAATGGATTAAACCTGTACAAAACATGGTTTTGCTGGAGCCAGCAACAGCCGTTAGCATGCGTTAGGAATAAGTGCCCACGATTGCAGAGTTGGGGGCTGAACGGACCATGAGTATGGCACGTACAGACCCACATCCTGAAGGCACAGGGCCAATACCATCAGTCTCTATTTTATTTAATTTAAAATTATCAGCTGCTGGTAACGTTTTTAACAGAGGTCATTGTGGTTCAGTGTTATTGGATTTTGTCTTATTAAGCACTTAAATTGCTTGCTAGAATGACTGAGGAACAGAGGTATATTTGGAGGCCTTAAGAAGGAGTTAGCTCTTAGGCCTTTGGTAATAACGTATCTTCAAATTAGAGGAGGCGTGACTGGCTGGCTCAGTCGGTAGAACACGTGACTCTTGATCTCAAAGTCATGGGTTTGAGCCCCACACTGGAGGTAGAGATTACATTAAAAAATAAAATCTTTAAAAAAATCAAGGAAACAAAGGATCTTTGAAAGCTTTCCTTTTTTAAAATTAATTAATTTTTTATTGCAGCATAGTTGACACACAATGTTATGTTAGTTTCAGGTGTACAACACAGTGATTCAACTTCTCTCTGTTAGGCTGTGCTCACCGCAAGTGTAGCTCCCATCTATCACTGTGCAATTACAATGTGTTACAAAACCATTGACTATACTCCTTATGCTGTACTACCCATCCTTTCGACTTACTCATTCCAAAACTGGAAGCCGGTACCTCCCACTCCCTTTCACCCATTTTTCCAATTCCTCACCTCTTCCCCTCTGGCAAACCACCAGTTTGTTCTCTCTATCTATGGGTCTATTTTTGTTTTAGTTTGTTTGTTCATTTGTTTTTTTAGAGTCCACATGTAAGTGAAATCACATGGTGTTTGTCTTTCTCTGTCTGACTTATTTTACTTAGCTTAATACCCTGGGTCCATCCACGTTGTTGCAAATGGCAAGATCTCATTCTTTTTTATGGCTGGGTAATATTCCATTATATGTATACACCACATCTTTATCCATTCATCTATTTATGGACACTTAGGCTGCTTCCATATCTTGTCTATTGTAAATAATGCTGCAGTACATATGGGTGAATATATGTTTTCAAATTAGTGTTTTCATTTTCTTTGGGCAAATACCCATGAAGGCTTTCTTGACAATTTTAAGTTACTGTACCGAACCCATCTTTTCTAGGGATACTGATGAATTATGGAGCAACACTAATATATATTCTCAGGAATATTGACATGTAAGTACTTGTAAGCAGCTCCACAGTGATGGTAAATAAATTAACAAACCCACACTGTATCATTTGAGGTACACTGTGAAGCTTAGGTTTGTCAGCCAATTTGCTTATATTTGTGTGTTATAAAAGTCGTCAGAGCTGGGAAACATTTATGGAATTCAAGCTGTTCGCAATTAGCCTGCATGATTGTTTTTTGCCATAATAAAGTTATATTTTATTAATGGAGAAATTTTACTGGTATCTAGAAGTTGAGTGCCCTGTTATTTTGTGTGTTTTCTGTGCAATGCTTGGTATGGTTCTGAGAGTGGAACAATTACAAAAATGAAAGTTAGCAAACACTAGTTTATGTAACATAGCCAGCCAAAGCCACTTACTCTTTCAAGGTGAAAGGTCTAGAAGGTTTTGTTAAGAATTTAGGACTCAGGGGTGCCTGTGTGGCTCAGTTGGTTAAGCAACTGCCTTCGGCTCAGGTCATGATCCCGGAGTCCCGGGATCGAGTCCCACATCAGGCTCCCTGCTCGGCGGGGAGTCTGCTTCTCCCTCTGACCCTCCTCCCTCTCATGCTCTCTGTCTCTCATTCTCTCTCTCGCAAATAAATAAAATCTTAAAAAAAAAATTTTTTTTTTAAAGAATTTAGGACTCAAATGTGTTTGCTTTAAGACTGATTCAAATAGGGCACCTGGATGGCTCTGTCAGTTGGGCATCAGGCTTAGGCTCAGGGCATGATTCCAGGGTCCTGGGATCGAGTCCCGCATTTGGCTCATTACTCAGCAGTGAGTCTGCTTCTCCCTCTCCCTCTGCCCCTCCCCTTTGCTTGTGCTCACACGCTCTCTTTCTCAAATAAATAAATAAAATCTTTTTAAAAAAAGACTGATTCAAATAATAAAAAATTCAGTATCAAATTCTAAATACATGGAGCTTCAAGTAACCATATCATGATATTCACCAGTATTTCTGGCACTATGTCAGCATTTGTCTCAAATCAGTTTAAGGAATTTGTCAGCCAGAATCTCAAAATAATGACCTTGCAAAATACTTTGTCAATATTTCACTAATATCACTATGATATATTGTCATTTGCTTATTTATTGTCTGATTTCTCCATTACAACTCTTCGAAGGCAGCAATCGTGTGTTATTTCTTTGTGTGCTCAGGGACTAGCAGAGTTCTTTTACATAATAGGGGCTTCATAAAGGGCTAATGTTAAATGAGTAAATCAATGAATATGAATTACCGCTTTCTCATTCCATTACACTCAGCTTCAGAGTCGGTGGCCATTTATCGCATCTCTACTACGTGTTAACGCATTGGTTTATTTTCTTACCCCTCTTGGCCCCCATTCTGGCTCAGTAGTCAGGAAGGCTGACCCATAACAACTGCATCAATAGACCAACTTGCCTTCTGGCTTCTGCCTGGGTTTGGGCAATGACAGCCAAATGCAGGGGACTGGAGGTTGACAGGAAAGTGAGAATGAGCCTTATGATGTTCTGGCTCTGCCTCCAGTCAGTTGCTGACTGCCTTCCACAGACAGCCATAGCTCTGGTGGAGAGGCCCCTTTCATACAGCTACTCTCTCTGGATTTGGGTAGCTCCTCCCCCTCCTTGTGTTAGGGATGTTCTCAGGTGTTGACAGCCTGGAACGCTGCACCAGCTTTTGTTGGCTTCTCTAGTCACTCTCCCTTTGCCAAGGCTCCTTTTATTAAATTCTCTTCAACTGCTGGTTTGACTGTGCTGTTCCCAGCTGGGACTTTTGGTACCATAACAGCTGTTTGCATAAATCTTAAGTAATTTTACTTTTTACACTTGCAAGGGAAAGAGGACTATTCCCATCCTACAGAACGGCTGTGATAGAAACACACCTTTCCTGGGACTT